CTTGCTTTTATCAATTGAGCTGATAATTAACAATTATTCCACGAGCGCGCGTTGGATATGAGATGATAGATAGCCAACGAGGCGCGTAGCGCCCAGTTGGCTATAAACATCCCATATCCAAAGAGCGCGAGTGGAATAATCGTTTTAATAAAAAAGAAAAACGCCTCCAAGATATTAGACATATCTTCGCGACTTTATTTTGTAAGAAGAAACCGGACGTTACAATGTACAGATATTAGATTATTGTATATTGGTTCATATACCATAATGGCTAAGCCAATAAAAAGTCTTGAATTGCATTATCCAATGATCCAGTTTTTAATAATGTAGATTAGCCACCGTAAAGAATTCTAAAGCTGACTTTTCGAGCGTTAGCCCTTCAGCATTCGCTCTAGTTAAGGGCTAATACTCGAATCTTCTGCTTTAGATACTCTCTCCGGTGGCCAGTCTACATTAACAACTAAGCTGAATAAAACCAAAATATCTCGAATGGATGTAATTTAGGTAAGGTTATGCATCAGACTCGGCGCCGGGACCAGTGTGGCTCTATGGGCGCAACACCAACAACAAGTATCACCTCAACTACTCACCCTTGTTATTTGTTCCCCGATTTACAACAAGATCTTTCAGATCTTCTCCCCAGTACTTCTCACAAGCCTCCCTGTAAAAGTCAAATCAAGAAAGAGCAACAAGTCATTTCTTACGAATTCCATCTCAGTCTGACGTGGGTAACAGTTTAAGCGAGATACGTTTTTCACCGCGAACAATTCTCTCACAACGACCAGCCCCTCCTTTTCTGCGAAGTCCATCGTGCTGGTACGAAAAATATCAGCGGAAAGAAAAGGCAAATGATGGCCACCGCGTGGCGGATAATCAACTTTTTTTGACTGTTTTTTTTCTGTTTTGTTTTTTGGAACTCGCGCGACAGACTTCGCCGAAGAGGAGGGACTGCTTGTCGTCTAACAATTCTCAAAACTACGTAACATCAGGTGAAGTCGTTAAGGTAAAAAGAGTGTAAAACTTTGGTTTTAATCGACACGAAAAACAAATAAGAATGTACAAAACTCACCAAATGTTATAGCTGTCGCTGACACATGCAACTAATCCAGATGGAAACTATAAGAAAAAAATACAGTCTGTACCATCAAGGAGTGATTAAATCATATTGCCCTCTGATTGCAAAAAATCAATTCTGCCCAATTTTTTATTTAGTCTGCGCATCCGCCATTCAAAACAGTTACAGTACGGCTCAGGATACATGGCTAACGCACACACATAACTCGCACGTTTTTCGCGTCACGCGCACAAAAGATGCCAGGTTAAAAGCGCGTGTCTAATAAGCGCGTTTTGGCTTCTGTTATTTAACGCAGTCAGCTTGCTTTGTTCTGCATTGCTTCGGAAAACAAAAATTTCCTGTTTCAAAATGTCGCCAAAGAAGGATCAAATCAATATTTGCAAGTCTCGACATCAAAAGGACGCAATGGCTTTCGTTTCAATGAAAAGTAGACACGAGTCGTCATGACTTCGCTAGTATTTCGTAAAATATGTTTGCGAAAGATTTTACGATGTGAATAATAAACTCAATGCAATTCTTTTCTGGTTGATGTAAGATTCCAGCCTGAGATCGTGACTATAAAATTACTGTTAGTGGTTAATTTTATTGCAGGACACGGTAACTTGATAGTTTGTCTCCTTTGGGCCAGGGGGGAGGGGATTTCTTGAACGTCTCCCTAACTTCACAGGCCCTGAAAAGCTAATTCACTTTGCCATGTCTTCATAAGATCGAGATAGCGATAGTCTTGAAACCGAAACAATGAAGATATTGCAATCTACAACAAAATAGACTAAATTTGAGCCAGGATCCTCTTAGATTTCTTTTTTTAAGTTCTGCCTTCTGGAAATTTACAGGGCCTTTAAAGAAATAGGTCCCAGGTCACTGTGTGGTGTTGTTGAGCCAAACACTAAACTCCCACATTGACTCCCTTCAATAAGGAGTGGAAATGGGTGGTGGCAATCTAGTAGAGGCCCCTGACAAAATGCTAGAGAGGGGGGTAGCCATTAGGTGGACTGGCATACCATCCCAAGAGTTGTGTGATTGACACTTCAAGTCAAGGCTAATGGTAAACCATGACAAAACTAAAGTTTGACTCAGTGAATTTGCAGTTATGTTTAGTGATGTCTGTGACAAGTGTATTGCCATCAGCTTAAAAATAACACCACAAGTTAAGAAGTAAAAAAGCTCACCTGTTCTAACATGTTCCTAAATGCCTCTTTCTCTCCTTCTTTTCCCCAGGTTGTAATGGTACTGTTCATGGCAAAACAGAGCCAATAAGACACAAATTACTGATTCAATACTACGAGTAACATTTTTAATCAAGTCCTTGAACATACCTGTGTTCAGCTGCTGGGATTGAAAAGCCAGCAATTTCACAGCCGTAATAATTCCTGTACAAAACAAATGCATCGTGATTGGATTTAGAAATTACCAATTCAAAATGTAACAGCAATTTAATTTTGAAGAAGACACAGAAGCAATTAGCAACCACCCAAACCCT